GCTAGTCTTAAAGCTAGGAAATTTATTAAGAGGTAAGAAAACAGTTAAAAAATCCATGGAGTCATGCTTGGGGTTAATTTCTGACTCTGCCATTCTCAGGAAGCTGAGTTTTAAAATCTGAAAAATTAAGAGACTACACCTTACAGGATTGAAGACAAAATGCAATTACGGGTATCAGAGCATTCAGAATACAGTCTTACATGTACAGAAATGCTCAATAATAGTCAGGTGCCATTATTACTATTTTCGTTTGATTCCCAATCTGGCGTTCAATAGAAATTTAAGAGGTTGCATGTGTAATTACCAAATACAATTCTTACACTTTAAATTACTTGGTATAAATTTCAAAATTTTAATTCCAATTGAATTCTGAGTTTATCAATCCACTATCACTTTGTTTCATCTATTACACACCAAGAACATCTAATATATAAGACAGATGCACCATCAAATTTGCCAACAAGTATGTATGTCTGTTCTGTTACCTTAGATATGCTGTTGAGTTTAATGAGAGATTGTTAAGTCATTACATGGGTTGTGAGACACTAGAATGAATTAGAACATGAGTTTATTACATGATCTGTGAGCTTCTTAGCAGTAGGGTCATATTTTTCTCTAAATCCCCCATAGAACCTAACACAGTCTTCTATAGAAAGTGGATGAGAAGTAAATACATTTAATTAACAAACAGATTTCTTTAGGAACATTGTGGGATAGGATGTATGCTTGATTTGGCTAAAACTGTATTTTGTTCACCTATGAGACCTCTAAATTCAGCCCAGTGCCTGGAACAGAGCTGAACTTTAAGAAACTTTGTTGAATGAATGATATTCCTTGACTAAGGGTCTGGTCTTGATAGAATAGGGTATGTAACTCTTGATAAAATTAACCAAAGATGCATGAACATTATTTTGCATGAAATCTCCCAAATGTGATATAAATCATGTTACCACTGTCTTTCATAGTCATTTTTCCAACAGAGATCCTACAAAGAATGAATATGAGTTAACTGAAGTGTCATGATTTTATTTCCTGATTTAATCTCTGTCAAATATATTATTAGTGAACTGGCCAAGAGGGGATTTAAAGAAGGGGGCTGAGGGTTCTGGAGTATCGTGAGATTAACCCAGAGTCGAACTTGGGTACAGGAATTGATACTTTTTCATGAGTGCTAATTAAAAGTATAGGTGGACCCTGGCCGGTTTGGCTTGGTGATTAGAGCATTGTCACGCAAACTGAAGGGTCTCGGGTTCAGTTCTCAGTCAAGGGCATGTTATTTGGGTTGCAGGTTTGATTCCTGGCCCCAGTTGGGGTCATGCAGGAGACAACCAATAGATGTATGTACCTCTTTCACATTGAAGTTTCTCTCTCTCTCTCTCTCTCTCTCTCTCTCTCTCTCTCTCTGTCCCTCCTCTCCTCTCCCCTCCCTTCTATTCTATCTAAAATTCAATGGTAAAATATCCTCTGGTGAGGATTAACAAAAATAACAACAACAACAACAAATGTATAGGTTGATGAGTTATAAAAAATTCTGAAGTAGAAAAGGACCAAAAGAATTCTTAAGGAAAACTGACATTTAAAACAAATAGTATATAAGGGGAATGACTACACTGATCAAATAACGGCATCAGCATTCATCTATATACTAAACAACATAGATTTTACATATACAAAATAATATGCTCAAGGTATGTGTGTATATTTAAAAGATATTTGTAGGATCACACAATTAGGAAATAGAAAATAACATGAAATTCCATGTAAACCCCTCACATCAAAAGAGTCAAATGGTCTTAAGACACCAACGTTGTCTTCAAGGTAGGAGAAAACGAAAAATCTCATTACCTCCTTCTTCCCTGCCCTCCTTCTGTGTCCGCAGGAAGCAACCCTTAGTTCTCTGTAACCTTAACAAATATCGGCTATGACCCAATAAACTTACTCAGATAAACACAATGTGGTTTTCTTTTAAAATAAGCCTTTACTGAATATATCAACAAGGTACTGTATAGTGTAGAGTGAGTTTGTCATTAACAAAGTGTGCGACGTGATAATCTCAGAGGATGAGCGACGCAGAATCTTCCTCGTGGTCCCTTGTCTGCGAGAACGCGCTAAACACAAACCAGAAGCAAATCAACATGTGATTCAAACAACAAATCATCAGGATTAACTTTCAGTGAAGATACACGGGTCCTCCAGGGACACGCAGGGGCAACGCCTTCACCTTGCCTCTGACACGTTATCAATCTGACATCCCGCATCTCTGCAAATGCCCCCGAGCGTGTTCGTGTGTGCACACATGTGGGTGACAATTCTTTAAAAATGCCTGCTGCGATGGCCTTGCTTTGTGCTCTTCTGGTGAGTGTGCTGCTAGAAAAGCGAAACGCTTGGCAAAATAATCTGATAGGCGCGCTGTAACAACAATGTCCTACGTGTACAAAACCTCCTCCCCACTCTCAGCGACAAGCATCCCCTGTCACCAGCCTGGTCTTTCAACCCTGCTGAGGAAACCAGAGAAAGGTGTAAACAACAGCGTTCTGTATTGGCATGGGGACTTAAAAATAGGAGCCTCTGGCAAGGTGTGAAGAGAGGAAGAGGGGTCTTTTGTTTTGTGTGTCTTTTGACCAGTTGGGTGCTCTTTCTCGCTTTGCCTTCCCACGCAGCTGGAAAGGTAAGTCATGAACAAAACCTTTATTCTGGTCTATTCTCAACTTCTAATGTGAAACCCAACTTCTCGTTGTGATGGGTTAGAAAAAGGTTACGAACAAAGAACTCAATGGAAATTAACCACTTCATTGTCAGAAGTTGCCAGGGCCGGTCAAGGGCCACCTCTGCCCCCGTGGACTGCAACAAAACTGCGGAGTTTGGAATGGGTGCCCCGCTCAGGCCAAGAGCGTGTCCTCCTCAGTGGGGAAGGAGGTGCTGACTCCTGGAAAATGGCTGAGACCACTACAATCCTAGTAGGAAAGGGAGCTGTGATATTAGCTACTTTGTTAATACTTCTTACCAGACTGGTCACATTACACCTTTTTTTTCACCTCAGAGGAAAAATAAAAACTCTAAAGTGTTTTCAATCAACATCCAGAGAATTAGAAATTGCATTATTTCTCACGGGGTAGGATGAGGAAAACGCAGTTCTGTCTCTGCCTATGATTGTCCCATGTGATGGGCCACTAATGCATCAGATAGTTTCAGGGAAATCCCAGGGTCTCACCAGGATCAAACACATCTCCCTAACCAAACAGGTATTGATGACAACCCTCGGCCTGAATGATGGTCAATGACATCTCTATGATCACGACTATGCCTTTTCCTTATAGAAGTTCCTCTGCACAGTGGTGGCCTACTATCTGAAATAAGCATCAAGCTCTTTATAAGCCAGCAAGTCTGGCTTTGTTCATGGTCTGGGCCTCCGCGTTCAACCTTGACTGTTGGCTAAACACCTCAAAATGCATAATAATGCCAGCAAGGCAGGGCCAAACACATCAAAGCATAACCCGCCACTGCTGGTTGTTTAGCAGTTTCTTAAACCACATAAGGCATCACAAATCTCATGATGTGCTTTCCGTCCTGGTGTGGGCGAGAGCCTTGGGCGGGTTATTACAAATGGGGCCCTGGTTTTCATTCTAGCCATCTTTGTCATGCTGAGCCCAAGATGAAGGGACAGCCTGTACCCGGATTCCATCTCTTCAGGAACACCTTCTAGCGAAGGAACCTTTTCCCATCATTCTAAATATTTCACATGCCTAGATCCCCAATGGACCACTTATGCCCCAAATTATTCTGTGAATCCCATAAGACGTTAGAGACACTTCTCCATCCTTGGTCTTCTTGGCCCAGAGTAAATTATTTCAGCAGCCAAATATCCCACTAGGGGTTATACACAACACAAATAAATAAGACTGATTACTTTGTGGATAAAAGGGGGGGAAAAAAAAAAACACTTCTAAAGGCAAAGTACCATCATTTGAACACATAGCTTTATCTACACAGCCAAGGGAAAGAGGGCGGTGGAAGGAATTATCCAGTTGAATACACAAAACCCATGTCATTGTCCTGAAATTTTAGATGGTTCACTGCTTCACTGATCACCTTCACAGACTGTCTCATCCCTTCACTGTGTGGACCTAGCGCTAAAAAAGCAATAGCCAAAACTCACTAGTTAATCGACTAAAACAGAAACCAAAATCACTGTAGAATTAATTAAATTAATTCAGTTAATTTTGGCTCAAAGGACTGCACAGTTTCAATTCTTGTGTCTAGAACATTATATCTTCAGTTATATTTTCTGCTTATTCTGAGGGACAAGGGAGATTAAAACATATAAGTTGGGGCTATATTATTAAAGAAAATAAAGCTCTTACTATAAAGAAAAACTTGCATAGCATTTTACACCTAAAATTTTACAAAGAAGACACATCACAGTTCTATTTTGTTAAAAGTGAGTGACAGAGAGAGAGAGAGAGAGAGAGAGAGAGAGAGAGATTGCAAGCACACAATGATTGTGACATTAACTTTATGGATCCCTAAAATAATGGCCAGTGGTAGAGGAAATAGGCAACACAGAGTGAAATACCTAAATTTGACTTTAAAAACAATTTTCCAAGGGTGTAATTTTTAGATAATATATGTGATCTATAGCCCTTCTAAATCTAAGGGATGGGAAGGAGGAAATTATATATGCTTTCTGAAGGTGGGCATTGCCTCAAAATGATCTGGATTGAAGCCTGAACATCCCTCTCTTCTCTATGCCCTGTGCTCTGTGCCCAGCCCTACCAAGATTAGGGAAACAAACCTGGGCTCTCTGACTTGTTCATTTTTCATCTGTTATCCTGTGAACGTAAGATTGATTATCCCTCCACAATTCCCAAAGAAGAGGAACATCCAAGATTGAAAAGGAATAAATAAAATTTCAAAAATGGGACAGGATCAAAGTCAGTCCAAGGAGGAAACTCGATATTGCTTTAAAAAAACAAAAACAAAAAAACATTATTTTGGCCAGTGTTGATGTGTCCTTATAGAATTGTTAGCAGTGAAAACTAGTATACATTTTAAAGCGTAGATGGATATTTTTGTGCAACCAAGACTGGCGTCCATAATTTTCTTTTAAATTTTGAGCAGAGGGGGGAGAAAAACAAACACAGTATAAACAGCTAATTACGAAAATATATGTGAGGTGACTGGAAGACAAGAATTTGCGAGGGGGGTAAAGGTATTAATTCAAGCTATTTCAACATGATACTAACAAAGGCAGTTGACGGTACAGCAGAACCACCGATCACTTGATTTGTCTACATGGTATCAATAATTTTTAAATAACAAGTTGTTTGACTATATTCCAGACTTGATCTCTTGTTGGTCTTTGTATCATGTTGACATAGCTGCAATGAATCTACCCAAATAATTCTCATTATCAAAAATAATTCCATTCAATATAATCTTCCCATTATTTTTATTAGCCTCTTCTAAAAAAAGTATTCTAGCATATATCTCTGTTGAATGTGATTCAACCTGACATTTAATTTGAATAGCAACACTTTTAAAGGGAATTTTCTTGCGGGGACGTCACACCTGTCCCTGAATCAGACTCGGGTCCCTAGTTTGTTATCACATAGGGCCAGGGAGGCAGTGGAGTGATTTCTAAGTTCCTGGTCAGACACCAACCCCCAGGCTGAAGGGTCTTTACAAAACTCGCCTCACTTTCTTCATTCTGCCAGTTTAGGTTAACTTATCTCACAGGAACTGACTTCCTTGTGATGCGTCCTCCATGTCCTGTTTGGGGTCAAATCAGGGTAACTACCTCCCTTTCTTATAGTTTGGCGTTTTTAGCTTTTCTTCCAGACCAGGAAGAATAGAAATAGCATAAAGATCTCTGGGCCATTCTTTGTGTGGACCCATCATTTACCTGACCCCAGTGAGTCCGTCTTCATCTGCCCTGTCACCTGAACACCAGCTCTCAGAAAGGAATCTATCCAGACAGCTCAACTGCAACGTGGTGCATGTGTATCATAAGGAAGAATCACTGGTTCTTTCGCCTTGGCATTGGGTTCTCATTGTACAACCCTGTACAGTACTTCAGCAACTATTTTTTTTTTTTAAGATTTAAAAAGCAAAGAGTTACAAAACTGTTTGTAATTAACTTGAAATAGAAAAGATAGCACTTTTTTTAAATCCCATTATATAGTACACCGTATAAATTACAGAGTATTCAAATGCACAAATGCATCTGGGTAACATTTATCAAATGTAATCTGCGTGTCTTTCCGGGCACACACGAGTGCTCTCTCGGGAGTGTCACTGTCACGGGTGACGCCGGGCCTCGCTGTCACGTGTGGCAGTGCTCTAGGTCGGGCACGCTGCTGTTGCAGTATCGCATGTTGTTGGGGATGTGGCAGTCTGTGTAATTAATGCCCCCATTTGGGGTGTAAATGGGCTGCAGTCTGAAATCTCCTTTAAGGAGCTGATCGTTATTTAAGGAGACGATCTGAAAGCTGGTTTCTGTCATCTCCAGGATGGAATTGTCCTTCTTGGTGCCCGCCTCGCAGTAGTCGTCTTTCCGCCGGCCACGGTTGTATTTCCACTTCTGGGAGGTGTAGCGCCCCTTTTTGTGCATGTGCCAGCAAAAGACGCCCAGCAAGACCACGAGCACGAAGATCACGGCGCCCCCGATCAGGCCCGCCAGCAGGAAGGGGGAGCCCATGCTGTGGGACGTCGTCTGCTCGTGGCTGGAAGCGGTGTTGCTGCCATTGTTCAGGTAGGAGGCGTGGGTGGTGGCCTCGGAGCAAATGGTATCCTCCACCGCTCGGTAGTTAAACGCATCCAGCGGCACCAAACAAATCCGGTAGGTGGACCTGGGCTCCAGGTTCACCAGGCTCAGGTGCTGCTTCTCCCCGCTGACGATGCGTTCCTGCACGATGCCCCCCACCAAACTGTGGCCCATTTTCACCCACGTGAGTTTGTACGCCATCACGGTGAAGAGCGACAGCCAGCTGACCTGAATGGAAGTGTCGTTCACAAAGTGGACAGACAGCTGGATGCGCTCAGAAATCGGCGGGGTCGCTCTTTCTCGGCCGTCCCAGTCGGGAATCGTGGGGCGTCTGGAGGTGGTGGGAGTCGGAGGCATATAGCTTTTGCTGGGGGTGGGGACAGAGAGCGTGGGTGGCTGGGTTGTGGGAGCAGCTGTAGTTGGGGCCGGGGTGAAGACAGGCAGGCCGGGGGTGGTGGTGGGACAGGACAGAAGATTCATATTCAACTCCCGGACGGCCATGCCCCGGACTTGCTCAGGACCTTGGCACATGAAACCTCGCACATTGAGAGAGGAAGGGATGTATTTGAGCCATTCCGTGACCCATTTAATACTGCAGTCACAAAACCAAGGGTTGTTGCGAGCGGTCAGCTGCTTCAGGTTGGAGAGATTATCGAAGACCCCTTGCGTCAACACGCGGAGTTGGTTGTTGGATATATCCAGCCGTTCCAGCTTACGGAGGTTAGAGAAAGCGGTCAAGGGGATGTTGTTTATCTGGTTGTCCTGCAGATACAACCGGAGCAGATGCGTTCCTGGGAGATCAGGCGGCGGGTGGGAGAGCGAATTCCTCACGATGGAAAACTCCTTGAGCTTGGTGAGGTGGCTAAAAGTGCCCTCGGCGATGCCCTTGTTGTTCAGGAGGTTCCCGTCCACAATCAGACGCTCCAAGCTCGTGAGGTTCTGAAAGGCCATGTCTGAAATGACAGCGATTCGGTTCTCATCCACTCTCAGCTCTTGCAAGTCCACAGGAAGCCCCACGGGCACACTGCTCAGATGATTCTTGGACAGAAACAACAACTTGAGGCTGACAGCCTCCCGGAAGGCCCCGTCTTCCACCCCCACTGTGGATATAGAGTTGTCATCCAGGTGTAGCTCCTCAAGCTTCAGGAGCTGGGCCAGAGCCGCCCGTGAAATGGTCTGAATGTTGTTTTCCTGCAAGTGGAGAACTCGGACGTTCTTGGGAAGGTTCATGGGGAATTCATCCAGTTGGTTGCCATACAGGTAGACCGTGTGCACCGACTGTACGTTGTGCAGTTCTGCAGGAAATCCAGCATTATTAATTTGGTTGTTGTGGAGGTAGAGTACGGTTACGCCCTCCGGGATCCCAAGAGGCACTGAGGTCAAGCTTCGCTCGTTACAGTAGACAAAGTTCCTGTCGCAGCGGCACACGCTGGGGCACCCCAGGAGTTCTGACACTTGTGAGTAGAGCCCCAGAGAAATGAGAAGCCAAGATTTGAGGAAAAAAGCCCCATGGCTGGGCCACTGTGTGGTCTGCAAGCCCATCTCTGAAGTACAGAAATAAAATACAAAGTAGTGGTGAGAAGGGAAAAAAAAAAAAAAAAAGACAGCAAAACTGAAATGATTGGATGGGGTTCTGTCAAAGTCCAGAACGCCAACTAGAGGAAAGTCCCAAAGGCCCACGGTGAAAGAATCTCCCTGCGGTCTCTGGTCGTATCAGCCTGCGTTGCCCTCCTTGCTGTTGTGTTCCATGTGCAAAAAAGGAAAAAATTCAATAGAGAGAATTTTCTACACAGGCAACAAAAGAAGCCAAGTTATCAGCGCTCAACAGGGGGCCCCGATGGGCAGGCAGAACACCTTTCTTCGGCTGTAGGTCAGGTCAGCGTGTGTCAGCCTATGGACTTCTTGGTTAAGCTCAGTCAACAATCTGTTGGAGGGAAGCAGAGAGAAAAGGGTCAGTTCAATGCAGTAATGGAGGAAGTGTTGCCCTGACTACACACCTTTCAAGAGTGATGTGTTAGGGAGTTATTGACTAGAGGCAGGTGATCGGCATTAAGTGATGTAACAATAATTTAGTTGAAACGGTGGTCAATAAATGAAAATGACTCAATTACCTTCAATTACCTACACGGTTCTCTCTCACTGTCAGTGACCATATTGTGCATTTTACAGTCCCAGTCAGGACCTTCTCCTAAGTACTGTTTGCATGACCAAAGAGACAGACTGTTGAAGCCACCAATTGAAAGAACGAGATAACCTACAAATCCAGCTGTTTGAAGCGTCGTTTCAAAGTGAAAAAGGGGACCGAGGAACTAATAAAATTTAAGGGGAAAAGATGTGAATCTCTTTTGAGATATAACTAATGCAAAATGGAGACTGACAAAATCATTTTAAAAGATGTAGCCTTCATTCCCTGGCCGGTTTGGCTCAGCTGTTAGAACATCCACCCGCAGACCAGTCGAGGGTTCGATTCCTGCCAAGGCCACGAACATCCATTGTGGTTCATCTCCAGCCCTGGTCAGGGTCATGCGGGAGGCAACCAGTCTATGTGTCCCTCTCACATTGATGTCTCTCTCTCTCTCTCTCTCTCTCTCTCTCTCTCTCCTCTCTCTCCTTCCCTTCTACTCTATCTGAAGAAAAATAAAAACAATATCCTTGGGTGAGGATTAAAAAAAAAAAAAAAGCCACTTTTGCTCTGACACTGTGATGAAGCGCTGTAAATGGAAGATGCAGAAGCCTGTGTGAAGGCAGAAAGAAGACTTTCCTTCCCATTTCTTGCCTCCTCTCATCTTTTCTCTTTCTCCAAAATAGCTTAAATCCAAGCTACCAGGTAGAATAACCAAACACGGTCCAGGATGCATTTTCACTTATCCCCTTTTGGGACCTCCACGTACAGATAAGACCTGCCGCTGGGAACCCTTTGACAGCCGCACGGCTCATGACTGGGAATACATTCATTTTCAACATCACAACCTTCTTGCCATCTGTGAGCTGTTCCTGCTTTTAAAGGACTTCCGGCAAACCTTGAGAGAACGAAGACGCAGTTGCCACAGTAAAGGAAACCCACAGACAGCAGTCATCTCCGTGCCCCAGAATGTGTCCCATCTGTTTTTAGATTAGAGAGATAAAGAAGTTCATTGGAAGGTGCCAGATTTGATTTTCCTACAAAATAAGTTAACATGACGGGACATGGAAAGCTATGAGTCTCTTAATTCTCACCAATACCCGGTGATTGAAACAGCTTATATCAAAAAGCACAGAGGAACCATTTGAAGTGGCTCCCTTAGCTATGTTTATAAACATCATTTACAAAGAAAAAAAATTTAAGTGCTATTTAATGGTCAAGGATATTGTAAATTTGTTCTACAATTTAAAAGATGGTGCACCATCTAAAAAAATGCCTTTAATGACCAGAAATGGTAATATTCATTACTTATTGTTCAGATATCTTTTTTTAAAGGGGGGGGTGTGTGTGTGAAAATCTCTTTCCAGGCAAAAACAGGTGGTTTTTTATAAAAATAAACCAAACATTATTTAATTTGTTAAATTTACAAATATATGGTTTGCCATGGAATAGGATCCATCCCCTTAGCAAAACCCCTCTATGCTTACAGAACAATTCATAATACAGCAAAAAGCAGTATGGGAAAAACAAATTTAATGTAATAAGCTCGGTGCCATCCTTAGCTCCGGGTTCAAATTTTCAAACCATCAGTGTCCTCTAAAAGCTCACTACTCCAATGTGATCCTTTGCCCAAGAGCATACGCCTGACCTCAGAAGTGGCTGGAAACACAGAATCTACCTGTTAGCGAGAGCCTCAGGTGTGCATTAACATCTAAGAAGCACCGCCCTAAACAGTGTCATCTTACTTAATCATTCAAATGGCTTAACTCATGACATGAAAAATAAATGTAAGAGCATGATGTCAAAGGACTGTTTTGAGAAAAGTAAAGGCATAAGACACACTAGCCACTTCTGTCCCCAAGAGATAGCCTGAAATTGTATCTTACATGTAAATGACATTTTCCAGGGCAGAGCAGTGCCCTGCCTCTATATGTCACCTGGCCTCAGTGGACTCTTGAAAAATATTTATCTAAATGACAAGCACTAATGTCTGGTAAAAGTAATTTGTAGTCAGAGGAGACCACTTTTATGAAGCATGGTTTATTTATGAATAAAAAAAACTGTTTGGTGCTATTAGCATTTATTCTTCAAAAGAAGTAGAACATGGAGACCAAAATAATAGAATCTAGTATATTTTTGAGTACTCCACAGGAACCTTCAAAGTGTGATAGTAACACACAGTGAATAAAATTTCCTAAGGGGGAAAAATAGCTGCTCCGGGTAAGTTCCTAAATCAAGACAATAGATGTGCACATGCCAAGATTTTAGGGCTGGAAAAACAACAAACCAATATTTAAGGAGGACAGAATTTACTTGAAAAGTTCCTCAGCCAACAGCCTCTAGGTAATAATCACTGGGAGTTAACAAAGTGCTCAGGGATGGACCGGGGACTCTCATTAGGCATCCAAATTGTAAAATTTCCACATGCCTGCTGTGTCCTCTGGAGAAAGAGGTGTAAACCCCTCTGACCCAGGCCTTGAGCCCTTGCAGTTACAGGTTGCTTACGAGTGCTTCTTGCCTAGTTACGTAGGGAGAGGATGTGGTCCTGAAGAGGACCTCACAGGATTGCATGGGGCAGACCATTACTGTCTATCCACCTTCCTAGGAGCAAAGTCCCACCTAGATCACCATGTGTTGATCAGTTCTGACAAGTGCAACTTGGACTGACAACACACTCTAAGGGTTTTCTCTGAGCTACCTGGGAATCCCACAGCATACCAGCGCACAGATGTGTTCTCACCTCTGGATCAACCACAGCCCACAGAGTATGTCAGCCAATGCGCTGTCTCTTTGTTCAAAGTAGCACAAGGGCAAAATCACAAACTCAGAAAAAAAAAAATTTGATTTCAGTAAGCTAAAATTGTCCTCTGTATTTTCAGCTATAATTCCTGTCAATTACTGACAGCAGAAATCCTTTCAGACCTGAAGCTGGAGACTCTATTTACAGAGAAACTAGAACAGAGTCAACAGTCAGAACACTGAGTCCTGAGTTCTCAACCTACCTCTGACCCTCCATGGCCGAAGGACTCTGGATAAATTAACCTTTTTATTTTTTTCAAAAAAATTTTATTTTTCCTTTATTGATTTTTAGAGAGAGAGGAAGGGATAGGGAGAGAGAGATAGAAACATCGATGAGAGAGAACATGATTGGCTGCCTCCTGTACGCCCCCTACTGGGGATCGGGCCCACAACCTGGGCATGTGTCCTGACCAGGAATCGAACCAGCGACCGCTTGGTGCATGGGTCGATGCTCAACCACTGAGCCACATCGGCTGGACTGATCAATTAACCTTTTAAGTCTCAGTCTTTTCATGTGACAAACTAGTTCCTAATGCATGGCTCTCTTGAGAGGATTAAATTGGGTAATATTGTTACAAGCCTATGTGGTGACTGACAAATGGCAAAACATGATACTATAAATGGTTATTCCCTGTGTACTTGATATTATTAGTTCTGTCCAAAGAGGTGACCTCCAGGACGTAAAGCAAAATAAAATCACCTTTGACCTGCCAACGTCTAGGCCTTTCACTTACCCCAAAATTTCTCAACCTCAGAATTATTGTTATCGACACTTTGAGCTCGATAATTCTTCCATTGTGGGGTTCCCATAAGTACCTAACCATGTCTGCAGACACTGCCATATATGTGTCCCCTGGATGGCAAAACCTCCCCAAGTTGAGAACCATCGACCTGCTCCATCTTACATGCACCTAAGAAGGTTGACATTATTATTCTGATTTTATAGAGGAAGCTGAAGATAAGTTTCTAATAATCAGAACCTAAAAATGCTCTTTGCCAAGGACACAGAAAATGTAGTATGTTTTTCATTTGTTTCTTCAACCAATATTTGCTGGGTACAAGACTGAGGGTAGAGTTTTTTGCAGAGCTGATAATGGATTTTGGCTTTGTGAGGCTTAAAGTTTTGTGAGGGCAGAACACTGAATGAGCAGGGAATTACCATATGGTGTAAAGAGCACTAACCTATCCCATGAATTATCAGGAAAAACGCTGCAGGAAAAGAATTGTCTATGGGACATGCTGAAGGATAAGGTGCAAACAAAGGAAGATTTGAGAAGTTCTACCCACGGATCCAAGCTGGTTACAATGTGCATCAACAGCCCAGTTGCAAAAAAGAACAAAACTCAGGCTGCAGAGTACCTTGCCCAACCTCGTCTGCCCTCCCTGAGGGGGTCCCCTTTCTGGAAGATTATAAACAAGCCCATGTTTCACAATCACTAACCATTTCACTTGTAAGTTTCTACTGTGGGGAACAAGAAGATTTAGCTTTACAAGACGAAGTTCAAATACTGAGAGCAAAGGGGAGGTTTTCCCTTTTTCCTTCCTGTTTGTGTGAATGTGCATGGACTGCGTTTCCTCTCCAGGAAACCAGAGATGATGAAAAACAGCTCCATGGAAGGCGCTAGGTAAAATCAGAAATTTTTACTCCAAAGCAGAAAACGGTTTCAAAAGCCTGGGTGTAAATCAACATGCAGCCACCACTCTTTGGAGACAGCAAGACCTGGCCCTGCCAGTCTGTTGGAAGTGACGGGAACAGCCCACCTTCTTCCAGGCTACTTGACCTCTTTTTATCGGACTGAGCAACTCAGAGCGCACAAATCATGGGAAGCTTTCTGCAAAGTGTTTCTCTCCTAGTACTGCCTAAGGATAAAAAAAAAAAAAAAAAAAAGATTTTAAATTAATTCCAGGAGTGCTAAATAAACCCAGGCTATAAAAACCATAGTTCAGAAAATAAGAACTGTCAATATGCACTGTCGACTGCATAAAAAAAATGATCCTAGGAC